TTCTTTCTTTCTTTCTTTCTTTCTTTCTTTCTTTCTTTCTTTCTTTCCTTTTTCCTTTCCTTCTTTCTTTCTTTCCTTCCTTCCTTCTTTCTGCAAATGCAGCTGACAAACGTAGCTGGCATCTGAAAAAAAAACCCACTTGGTAACATACAAACCCTAGTTGAAAGCTTTTTTAAAAAGTTTGGTGAAATTATAATGGTTTGTACCATCACTATAGTTTTGTTATCCTCTTTTCCCCACTAATTCCAACTCCCCAAACTATCTGTTTCCCTTCCAGTCTCAGATTTGGAGGGGGGGCGGTCTGACCTCTTGAATTTCCAGCCATATAAAGCTGGTGCTAAGTTCAGGGATATTCCTGACAAGCACTCAGTATCCCTTTAGTCAGCACAACCAGCTAACCAGGTTAATGGAGAGGCAGTTTCTGTAAGCAACACCAGAATGTTTCCTTCCTACCTTCCTTACAGGATTAGGCCAGTAATTTCTTCTAACAACCAGTTCTCCAAACTGCTTAGAATGTTAACAACCGGTTCTAGCGAATAGGTGCGAAGTGGTAGAATCCCACCCCTGGGGATGAGGTAAAAATACTGCTCTAACAAGGTAAGTTGGCCCCTATTACACACCAAGGTTTTTAACTGGGAAAATAAAAGGTGCCACCTGGGTTAATACTTGCCCACCATCAATATCTACCACAAACCTAGTCTAAAGCTCAAAAATCAAGGCGTTTAGAACATAGAATAAAAGAGTTGGAAGGGACCTTGGAGGTCTTCTAGTCCAACCCCATGCTAGAGCAGGGGACTCTATACCATTTCAGATAAATTATTGTCCAGTTTCTTTTTGAACGCTTCCAGTGATGGAGCACCCATAACTTCTGAAGATGAATTGTTCCATTGGTTGATTGCTCTCACCATTCGGAATTTTCTCCTTAGTTCTCGGTTGCTTCTCTCCTTGGTTAGTTTCCATCCATTGTTTCTCGTCTTGTCTTTTGGTGCTTTGAAAAATAGCTTTATCCCTTTGTCTTTGTAGGAGCCCCTCGGATATTGGAACACTCCTATCATGTCTCCCCTAGTCCTTCTTTTCATTAGACCAGAGTAGACATACACCCAATTCCTGTAACCATTCTTCGTATGTTTTAACCTCCAGCCCCCACCAATCATTTTTGTTGCTCTTTTCTGTGCTTTTTATAACACCAGCTTTTTATATATCAAGAGAATCTTAAAGCTGATGTTAAACAGGGTCCAATACAATAGATAAAATTGGTCGCTGATTCATATGGGTAATTCAATGGAAGCTGCAGATCCACCAGCCTGCTCACACTCCCACTCCGTATTCATACCATCCTTGCACCTACCTTAAAGATAATAAAAATACAAGAGTGACTATTGAAACAAGAATGTTGGTCCTGAAGAGTGCTTGACTGAGTCTGTTTCCCCATGAAGCTCAAAATAGACTGTTTTTGCATATACATGACTTTCAATCAGGAAAAGGGCTACCAATTTCTATCATGTGGCCACAATCTAAATTCATTTCTTGATGGTTAAATTCCTACTGTCTGTGCACAGTAGCGGTAATGCTTCAGAATGTATTTGTGTAGTTAGGATGTGCTGAAATTTCTCTACCATCTCATTCTTAGCATAAGCATTTATCTTATTTTTAGCAGAGAGACAGAGTGATTTGTGCAAGACCAACTGTCTTATTGCACGATTTATTACTATGGGCTGCATGCTCATTTACATATACGCGACTAAGAGTAATCCTTGGAGTGCTGCATTATTAGACTTCAAAGTTGACTAAGCCTTCTCATTTTTAATCAGTGTGCTTTTAAATACCGTGATTGTACTTTTAAATTATTCCTAAGTTGTTGTGATCCTGCAGGCTTTAACCTTGTATTCATAAGATGGTCAGCTTTGTAAGTCTTGGATTTCCTCTAATTGAACATTTGTTCTACAACGTAAAACAAATTTTAATAATAGAAAAATAATATGTGAAGTTTAAAAGGTCTTTTGTGGCGTTCCAGACCTAGAATCATAGGGCTTGGAAGTCCTCTAAGTCCAACCCTTTGCCCAAGGTAGGGTTTCTTATGCCATCCTGCACAAATGGTTGTGCAATTTTTTCTTCAAAACCTTCAGTGATGGAGCACCCACAACTCTGGCAGGCAAGCTTTTAATTAATTATTCTTATTGTCAGGAAAATTCTCCTTATTTCCAGGTTCAATCTCCCTCTGATGAGCTTCAAGCCAATGTTTCTTGTCCTGCCCTCAGGTGCTATGGAGAATGAATCAGAGCCCTCTTCTCTGTGACAGTCCTTCAGGTATTGGAAGATTGCTATCGTGTCTCCACTAAGTCTTCTTTTCGTTAGACTAAACATATCTAGTTCTCTTAGTGAATTATACAATTTATTGTCCAGACTTCCTGGCTCTTTTTATGTTGTTGATTGCGGGTGTCAAACTCGATCGCGTCATGTGATGTATTATGATGTATCACAATGTTTTTTTTGTCTTTGCGGAGCTGGGATGGGCGTGGCCAGCATGTGGCGCATCCAGCCCGTAGGCTGCCAGTTTGACAGGCCTGCTTGTTGATACGGAGTTAGAATAATCAACTTCTAAGTGTCATAGCATTGGCCATTCAGTACTAGCTTCCTGAGAGCCCAGCCTGAACTCATCTAGATGATGTTCATCACCTCGGCCCA